GTAATCATCGTCTGTGAATTGATTTTTCAGAGTTGAAATTGGCTGTATCCATGACAAGTTTTATTTCATTGTCAGTTTTATAAATTTGAGGATCCAAGCAGTTCCTATTAGAATCTTAACCATTTACTAAAACGATTTCTGTCAATAAGTTTTATTTCTTGGATAGGAATTGGTTCATAACATTTAATTTCGATTCCCCACGGTCTTTAATTTCGACTCGCCGCCATAACCAGTCTAATTCTTTTTCCTTTAGTCATGTTTTTATTCTACTATAATTCATAATTTTTTAACATTTTAGAGTGGGAGTCGCTTAATTTCCATGTCAATTCAATTACATTCGATGGGAATGTAATAGGAAATTTTCACCTTTCTTATTTCTTCATCTCAATTCTATATAAGAGCTGGTAGTAGTTGGAAATAATTTTGTGGTCGATGTAAATGCACATTAAAAATCTAACCATAAAATTGTTCACAAATTTTCCAGTACCACAAACTGAGCAGCTCTTATTACGATAAGTATTACGAGAACTGTTTAATTTTTTCATTTTCCCCAATTTTGTGCACATATTATCATTATGTACGCTGCCAGTGAAGACGTTAATTTTGTTAATTCCATTTGAGAAGGATACGATGAATCATGGCAAGTGTTTACGATTTTTGGTCACTTATTTGTTCATTCCATAATTTTGTATCTTCTTCCCGACAATTTTTGAAGCAATAATTTAAATTTATCATTATACAAAAACATCCTAATAGATTGTACTAAGACATCATGAACTGCAAAATGGACCTCTTTGCTAATAAATTTCAAGTGATGAAGCAATGTTGTGAAAAGTAGGCAATAATTTGTTCACCATCATTTGCACATATATTATTACTTCATACTATTCATTTTCTATAATAAATTTTCTTTTCTAAATTTCTCCGAGATTTTAAAAAGATTTTCCACTCGTTCCTATGCTAATATCCTATAATTGTCTTGAATACGTGATCCTATTTGATCAGTGCGTAGAGCTTTGTTAATGTAAGTGTATCAGTTTGCAAGCTGTTCATTGAAGTAATTATAAATGTTATGTTAACAAACACTTAAGCATTTATAGGATCTTATCAAATAGTCAAAAAAAAATTAATCAAAAGCTATGTTTTGATAAAAACAGAATGGCAGGTTAATTGTTTTCAACCAAATCTTAAGGGTCGTGGAACTAGCTCTCGCTTCCATAATCTGGAATAAAGAATATTTTCTTGAGATCGAATTTTAAAATTCCCTTTCTTTTAATTTTAATCTTCTAGTTCAAATTATAGTCGTTAATTATCTTCTTGTAACTAATTGAACAAATGGATAAGCAAGATTATAGCAGATTAAGTGTTTTTTCCCACATTTCAGCAGATGAAATTTTAATTCAGTCAGTTACACCAGATTTTAAAACCGACTTTTTAGAATTTCTTTATATTATCACATTCCGTGTGAATATCACTAGGATTGTAATTCCTAAAAAATCCATGAAATTCCTAAGGTTGGAATAATTCCAACCTAAATAATATGTCATGGAATCATTCCTAAGTCAATAAATATTCGCTAGAGGGATCATCGTTTATAAAGGCAAATTTTTAGCATAATTTGGCAAGAACAGATTGAAATTCTAACATATTTTGTAAAAAAATTGCTATAAAGTCTTTTGAGCACAGTTTGCTTGCTCATAAAATAAAATAATCTATTTATTGCACATTTTGTTTCATGATATTTGATAGCATGATTTATGATAGCACAGTTTTATGACAGCACAATCTGTCAACAAGAAAAAAAAATTCATAATTTGCTCATAAAATAAAATAATCCATTTATGGCATATTTTATTTTATAATATTTTAGAGGAAAAGGAAAAACTTCCATTTTTCATTTGAGATGAAAGTTGGGCTAAGATAGTAAAAAGGAAAGGATGCTTGGCGATGAGCAAAAGCGTTGTTTTAACATGAAATGGAACTATCCCTTTGTCAGACTGCCAGTCAAGTCTTCATATTCATCAGTGAACTGTTAGCCTCCATGTACATCACTGAACTGTTATTCCACAACTAATGAATATTTCAGTCAAGATAAATTGTGAATGACAAGGCTATCATTATCATTTAAGATATACTTATTTCAGATAAATTCATTTTTATGGTAAAAGAATTTGAATTCTTTGACGATCCGCAATTTAATTTTGTATTGTTTTCTTGAGTTCCTCTTGTTTGATTCGGAGGAGTTAGGTCGATTTCCCTCGCTTCGCCAAGAAATTCTCAAATTCTTAATTTGGTATTTCGGTTCCTTTAATTATACTTTCAGACATATTTCTCGGCTCATGGCACCCAAAAATTGTCGTGAGATTTTTTGTATGCTTATTTTTTTTTTTTTTCTTTTGTATACTTTTTGTTTGTTATTGTAGTTGATATAGACGAATGTGTTAAATGAAAGGACTGTTGTATCGATTTCGTTAGTAACCACAATATATAGGTATTAACCTATATATTTCGTAGTGTGTCTACGAGTATGATGAAGAAAATGAACAATTGATGGGGAATCTAAGGGATTTAAATGAATTGAATTAAATGAGCGCGGAGAGCAGCCGAACTATTGCTGGTACAAAACAAAAAAACTCATGAAGACAAAGGATTTAAATCCTGATGTAGTAGGCATTGATTTGCAAAAAGTGCATAATTACACTGAGTAAAGGAGCTATTAGATGGTCTTTCGTCTTTATATTGTAAGAAATGGATTTTGATATTGTCACTTTCCAAAGAATGGCTATTAAAAACTGTGCTATCATAAATCATGCTATCAAATATCATGAAACAAAATGTGCAATAAATAGATTATTTTATTTTATGAGCAAGCAAACTGTGCTCAAAAGACTTTATAGCAATTTTTTTACAAAATATGTTAGAATTTCAATCTGTTCTTGCCAAATTATGCTAAAAATTTGCCTTTATAAACGATGATCCCTCTAGCGAATATTTATTGACTTAGGAATGATTTCATGAATTATTATTTAACTCATATTTATAAAGGATTTCGAAATATTTTTTTTTCCAAAACTTGTGTTGTTTTCTTTTTCACTGAGCTATTTGTGTCCTCAATCTTCATTGTTACTTTCTCAGTGCTACAAACTACTGACGATGAATCTGACAGTACTCAGTATCCTACTTATTACGCTGTTCCACCAACAATATTTCACCCAAGCAGCACCTCCTTTCGTTGGATCCAGTAAGTATTTCAGTTCACACCCATTGAATATTTAAGAATTTAAAATTTCGACGGATTTTAAATGACCGCTCTATATTGCTTGATGTTATCTTGCAATTTCTAAACATATTTCTTTGCATGTTTAACATCAATGATGTTAAAATAAGAAGAAAAATGTATTAAAAGTACAGCAAATCATATGCAACTGTGAATAGTAAAGGAAAAAAGAGGATGAAGTGATGAAGAAATGGTATCTTCAATTATCTAAGCCTGGCTTAACATTTGATCACACTCTGAAACAGTGCTGATAGGATATACTTAATAGTAATTGATGCAAATTCCATCTAAGCCAAGCAAATCAAATTAATAGCCTATTTCAACTCACAATTGTTTGTATCCTAATACTGCTTGTATTTTCAGTGAATCCGTATATGAATGTATTAGGATCGTCAGATGCCGACGGTTCATTGCTAAATGGAGATAAAAAGTGATAATTTTTATCAAAAAAAACAATAATTTACTAATAAATAGAACAAGGTGCAAGCCAATTTACTAATATATTATTTAGGTTGGAATTATTCCAACCTTAGGAATTTCATGGATTTTTTAGGAATTACAATCCTAGTGATATTCACACGGAATGTGATAATATAAAGAAATTCTAAAAAGTCGGTTTTAAAATCTGGTGTAACTGACTGAATTAAAATTTCATCTGCTGAAATGTGGGAAAAAACACTTAATCTGCTATAATCTTGCTTATCCATTTGTTCAATTAGTTACAAGAAGATAATTAACGACTATAATTTGAACTAGAAGATTAAAATTAAAAGAAAGGGAATTTTAAAATTCGATCTCAAGAAAATATTCTTTATTCCAGATTATGGAAGCGAGAGCTAGTTCCACGACCCTTAAGATTTGGTTGAAAACAATTAACCTGCCATTCTGTTTTTATCAAAACATAGCTTTTGATTAATTTTTTTTGACTATTTGATAAGATCCTATAAATGCTTAAGTGCTTGTTAACATAACATTTATAATTACTTCAATGAACAGCTTGCAAACTGATACACTTACATTAACAAAGCTCTACGCACTGATCAAATAGGATCACGTATTCAAGACAATTATAGGATATTAGCATAGGAACGAGTGGAAAATCTTTTTAAAATCTCGGAGAAATTTAGAAAAGAAAATTTATTATAGAAAATGAATAGTATGAAGTAATAATATATGTGCAAATGATGGTGAACAATTGTTTTTTCTAATATCTGGATTAAATTACATATATGTGATTTTCACAACATTGCTTTTTTTTTCTACTTTTCTAATATCTGGATTAAATTACATATATGTGATAAGAGAATTAAATTATCAATATCATGGATAGAGTCGGTCATTCTTTGTTAACAAACGGTGACATTGTAGGCAATGCACATAAGTTGGAAGATGAATGTTGGATTAATATACAAAATTAACAAAAAAGAAGACTAAAACCAAACTAAAACAGCTTTATATTTGTTTAGGAAATATTCAAATAAGACAGCAGTTGGTATATAAATTTATATTTATTGATTTCATTCAGAATCACTTTGATTATTTTGTTGTTATGAAAGTATTTCGACGACAATTAATTATAATTTTTCGGTTTCATCGATATAGTATCCCTTCTCTTAATTTACATTTTATGGGTAACGCATTGCTTAAAAATTGCGTTTTATACTCCACTCATTTACAATTTGAACTTCGAGACCTAAATTTCTGATAGTGATTCGTCACAGAGATGCTATTCAGCTGTTCAATAATACTTTTATTTGTTCTGCATTTTACTGGATTGATAAGCGGCAGTTTACCTAACTCATCGATACAAATGAATGACGATGAAACACGTATCCGAAATTTCCCGTTTAGCCTGCACAGATCCGCAAGTATTAATGGTACAATTAGGAGAGGTCATCTTAACGTCCATTACGCTACTCTTGAGAAATCAAATGTGGTAAGCATTTCCTGTAGGAAACTCTTTTAGGAGTTTTGAAATTTAAAAACTTGTAAGAAAAACTGGAAGTAATACATAAATGAATGATGTGTCATCGCATTTCTGCAAGCAATTGCTTACGTTATTGTTATGTTACGTAGCATCAGATGTTAAGAATTTCCTCCTCTAATATAGTGCTAGTAAATATTTTCTTCTATAGGCTGATCAATATTTGCTTCATATAATGCTAATCAATATTTACGTCATGTAATGCTAAACAGTATTTATTTAGAAATGGATTGTTATAAGCTGTTTGTTTAGTTAGATCTGTTACGAATCCACGTTCGCTTGCATGATGTGAATAGGTTCATTAACACCAGTAAATTGTTGTTACGAGTTACTTCTCCGATCGATGCCATATCATTTGCGTTACCAACCGGGTAAGTTCCATATTTCGTTTTTTGACTGGATCTGTTAAGCAAATCACTATACGGGTAAACATTTGTGATTGTAACATGTGGAGTTTTTATAAACCTGAATTCTGCTGCTTGCTGAAAAGACTTTTCTAAGTAAAATATGAACAATGGATTGTTATGCATTTTAAAAAATTAAGTATTTTTAAGTCTCTGAATAAAGTTAATGTCGAAGAATCCATGTTACTGCATATTTGCTGTGAAGTTCTTTTATGGTTTTATTTTTTATCTCCGTAAAGTTTTTTTTTTTTTTTTTTTTTTTTTTCACCGAATAATGCAAAGAAGGTAACTATGTCATAAAACAAAGAAAGAGAGAGAGAGAGAGGGAGAAATAGAGAGGACGAAAAGGATGCCTTAAGAATAATTGCAAATCAAGAAGTGAAATTCATTCATTTAGCTCAATTTTTATGCTGTGCTGTAATTGAATCTTTCGTGTGTATCCAAATAATCATTTGATTGCTGTTTCATAACGTAAGCGTAATCAACGCCAATAATGTTGTTTCCACGGTCAATAAGTACAACAGTTATAACTATATCATTAGCGATAGTGATATGTATTAATTGAACTGAACTGCCTATTTCAGAATCAAAGTAAGCCCTTTAAATTCCTATTTATTGTTAATTCTTGATAAAAAAACCTTTCAAGACAAAAAAATTCATGACAAGCAGAGTATGTCCTTTTTTAACATTGAAAATTACTTCTTTGTTCCAAATCAAATCTAATGTAGAAATGTTTTTTCTAAGCTAATAACTATCCTTATGAGAAACAGAACACAACTATATTTTTCGTTATAAAGCTAAAACCCAACTCTCACTATATAAAGACCTGATGGACAGCTCTGTATTTGATTGTAATCATGCGCTTGTTTTAAGCCAATGTACACTATATAGCACAGTTCTCAATGCCTGTCCATATATTTAAATTTTGGTAGTCTTACGCACTCATTCATTTCCCATTTCTTCTGCTTCATCCTATACTCGTAAATAACAACTCCATGAAATTATTATTGTATTGTCAATGTAGATATGATTTTGTGTAACACAGTTGTTAGTGAATAAAATTCTTTACAACAGACTGATTACAGAACACATTCGCCTTAAAGTCATTTCAAACAACAGCCTTTGTTCATTAGGTTATAGCTTCGCCATTGTGGCGACAGTTGTAAAAAGTAGGCAATAATTTGTTCACCATCATTTGCACATATATTATTACTTCATACTATTCATTTTCTATAATAAATTTTCTTTTCTAAATTTCTCCGAGATTTTAAAAAGATTTTCCACTCGTTCCTATGCTAATATCCTATAATTGTCTTGAATACGTGATCCTATTTGATCAGTGCGTAGAGCTTTGTTAATGTAAGTGTATCAGTTTGCAAGCTGTTCATTGAAGTAATTACAAATGTTATGTTAACAAACACTTAATCATTTTATCAAATATGTTATCAATAAATAGTATGACGAGAAAGGGAAGGGGGAGAGGCAAAGATAAAACTAATTCCAAAAATCTTTTTGATAAAAATAGACATGTGTTACGGATAGCTGTTTTCATCCAAATCTTAAAGGACGTGGTCCCAGCGCTCGCTTCCATGATCTGAAATGAAGCGCATTTTTTAAATCGAATTTAACTTCCTCATTTTTTTCCATTTTACTCTTCTAATATGAATCGTTAATTTCTTCTTGCAATTAACTAAATAAATATGGGAAGATTATAATAGATTAATTGATGTTTTTCTCTACATTTCAACAGATGAAACTTTAACTCATTCAATTACATCAGATTTCAAAACTAACTTTTTAGACATCATCACATGCAATATAAGTATTACTGAAGTGAAGGAAATTTGTAATTCTTAAAAACTCAGTGAAATTTTGAGATTGGCGTAATTCCAATGTAAATAATACATTAGTAGATTGTCTTGGAACTTATTCCGCTCAGTAACATTATTGATTTTTGAAGATGAAAATAGAAACCTTTCATCGGCATATGATGATAAAATGTTGACATCTGGTGATCTTAATGAATTCATATACGGATTCACTGAAAATACAAGCAGTATTAAGATACAAATAATCGTTGGTTGAAATAGGCTAATAGTTTGATTTACTTGGCTTAGATGGAATTTGCATCAATTACTATTAAGTATATCCTATCAGCACTGTTTCAGAGCAGAGTGTGATCAAATGTTAAGCCAGGCTTAGATAATTGAAGATACCATTTCTTCATCACTTCATCCTCTTTTTTCCTTTACTATTCACAGTTGCATATGATTTGCTGTACTTTTAATACATTTTTCTTCTTATTTTAACATCATTGATGTTAAACATGCAAAGAAATATGTTTAGAAATTGCAAGATAACATCAAGCAATATAGAGCGGTCATTTAAAATCCGTCGAAATTTTTTAATTTTTAAATATGAAGTATTGAAATATTCAATGGATATGAGCTGAAATACTTACTGAATTCATAGAAAAGATCGTTGGGAGGTGCTACTTGGGCGAAATATTGCTGCTGGAATAGCGTGATAAGTAGAATACTGAGTACTATCAGATTCATCCTTAGCAGTTTGTAGCACTGAGATAGTAATAACGAAGGTTGGGATACCAAGTAGCTCAATGAAAGGGAAAACAACGCAGACTTTGAAAAAAGATTATTTCAAAATCCTCTATAAATATGAGTTAAATACTGTAAAATTTGTTGCTTTAATACAATTTCTAATCACAAATCGTTCACGAAGTTACTTCTATGTCAACAAATACTCGCTCAGAGGAAAGATTGTTTGCAAATTAGATTGCTTGACGACGTTATCGAGTTTCACTATGAAATTCTGCAACACTTCTATGTTGATATAATTTCGTGCACATAGTCTTAAATGGCACTTAGACCAGTTCCTCAAATCCACATGCGGTTCATGGGTCAATGGTTCCAGATGCCTAACCATTTAGTGACACATTTAACTTGCCCAAAGTTTACAAATAATGTTTCGAGATCAAAAAAAAAAACAGTACTACAAGTTAATTAGGGCGAATTTCGTATAGTTAAAAGAATGATGGTGATAAAAAACCTAACGTAGTAATAGTTCAGATTTTGAAGTTTTTATGTTAAAATATAGAAAAAAAAAAAAGAGAATCCAGAAATTTCAAGAATTCCCATACTTTCCTATTTAAATCAATAAAAATAAATGTAAGGAAATGAAAGATGAAAACATCAGCAAATATTAACATAATAGAAAATAAAAAATAAAAGTAAAACAATTCATATTTATGTAGTGTGAATAATTGGGAAAAAAGAAAGTGGTGACAAGGTTTATCCTTAAAAGTGGAGTATAAAATAACGTTGCACTACTTCAATATATGCAAGATATATATTGCAGAACTTATGTATATATATATATATATATATATATATAGATATATAGATATGTATATTTTTTCCCACACTAAGCCCAATACTTCAGTATTTTAATCATAGGAACGTTGTGATTACGAATTTTTGTAAAATCTTGCCTATAAAAAATTTAAGGCACTTAGAAAGATGAATATAAGTAAGGCTTTTAAGAAATTCAAATCTCAGAAGCAATTTTTGAAAACTCCTGAGGATTGGGAGAGGAAGAGAATGATAAGTGAAAGAAGCACGCGAATGATACGCACTTCATATTGTCTACATTTTTTCAATTTAAACTTATAGAATTCTCATTTCTTTCTCAATTAATTTGAAATAGTGAGATGTCAATTCTGCAGTGAACCGATTTGAAATTTCCAATCCAATGTGGTGCAATTATCTGAAGAGACAATTAATGCTTCTCTTCGTGTCATTCTCCCAAAATCCTTCCAATTCTTCCTTATTCCAAAATGAATATTTTTTTTTCCGTTCTTTTTATCTATCATAAATTTGGAAATAATAATACGAAAGATTTCAATTTTCACACTTGCTTTAACAATAAATTTCTTTAATTGCATATTTCCTTTCAAAATAGAAATTGAATTTTATTCATGCGATTTTCTTCCAAATATGTTTGAGCGATAACTAATTTATAATCTATCTTATAGCATCAGTCCTTCAGTATTAATTCAAATCCTTAAGTTCTCAACCTGCTCAGATTGTAAATTACATATTTGTCAAGTCGTAATTAGATATTAAAAATTACTGGATGTTAATGGATGCCTCGGAACCTTTTTCAATAACTTACTGAAACCTTTGTAACATGCCTAGATCCAAATGATATGCAACTTCATCAAAACACAGTTAAAACCTGAACAAAATCAAAAGCAATTGATAGCTGAAACGAAACAATAATCTCAAATAGTACATGCTTCCTAATAAGATATTATTAAAAAAACATTGAAATTCAAAAATGTATAACTTCTCTACTTTTCTAAATTCTCTGTTTCATTTTAACTTACTCTTCTGAACTGCTAAAATTTCAACATCCCAGCTTTCCAACAACTTCTGAAAATTTTAAACATTCCAGCTTTTCTTGTCTCTGAAACGGTGTTGAAATCTTTCTCGGTATAATCATATAACATAACATAAACAAAAATGATAAATATAACTTCCATTTCCTCTCAAAATATTCGAAATAACTTACTGTCTAATTGATCCAAAGTGAAAAATGAATATTAAGCCAAAGTTTTCGGAATCAAATGAAGTTTTTATATGCTTACAAATTCATTGCATTATACATCTTAACACTTATAAATTCCTTTTTGATTCTTTAAGTATTCTTGAGAATATTCATCATCAACAGTCATGTGTGATAGTTTGATAATTCATGTATGAGTTGCACAAACAAAAATGTTATTGTAAAATGATTCTGCTTATGAAAGCACTTGTTAAATTTTTCTTTCGATTGGTTATCATTTGGAATATTTCTTAGAAATTTTGCTGGAAGGCAATTCTTTTAAAAGGGAATTTTTTATCATCTTAACAGCCACCTCCTAAAAAGTAAAGAGACAAAAAAAATATGCATTTGTAAAAAATTCCTTGAAAATGCAATATTTAAAATAAACGTTTATAATGAAATTGAATGATTAATAAATAACATTTATGAATGTAGAATTGTGGAATGGAACAAAGAGAATAGAAAATACTGAGGACGAAGAAAAATGAAAAATGAGAGAAGACTCCAAAGTATTTACTTTAGAATTACGAAGTCAGCAACCGACGAAAATCTTAAAATCTATGGTCTATTCAAATTCGGCCATGAACTCAATCTATCGACATCATATTACGACAATATATTTGCTAACATTAATATCAAAAGATTCTTAATCCTCCTAAATTGGAGGCGTTGAAAAGCTATGTTATTCATTTTATTTTCAAATATTTGAAAAACAGTTAATCTTTTTTTTTGAGGTTTTCAGAAAAAAAAGAAGTTATCTATAAGGATCTCTTCAGCTATATTAAGTAGAAAATTTAATTAATCAATGAAAAGAAGCAAAAAAAAAAAAAAGAATTTTGAGCACAAGAAAAAATTGAAATTTTAACATATTTTGTAAACAAAAGTTACTGTAAAGTATTTTGAGCACAATTTACACGTAAGAAAAAAGATCATAATTTATCCATAAAATAAAATAGTTCATTTATGGGCATATTTTGTTTTGTTATAATTTGTTTAAAAAATGTTTCCGTTTTTATCTACAATGGAAGTTAAGCCAAAATGTTTGACAAAACAAAGACATTACTTTAACAAAGAATAGGATTATCCCTTTTTGCTGTTCTGCCTGACAATTCTTTCTAAACATCAATGAATTGTTCCTAGATCAATGGATATTCAATCAAAATAGGTGGGAAAGACAAAATTGTATGTTTTGCATTAACATTTAAAGTACGATTATTTTATACAAATTCAATTTTAAAGTCATCATGCATATGATGGTAAAATAATAATACAAGGAAGAGAAAAAGTGTGAAGCCATTTTTAAACATGTCAATACGAGGTACAAGCCGGAAAATAACAGGACCCAACTATTACTTATGCTTATCAAATACTGCGGAGAGTAATTATTCTTGATGCATTTATTGCTTTGTAATTTTGACAGAGAAAAAAATTTAAGAATCAGGAAGGAAAAAAAAAAGTAAGGTGTTTTAAAAATTACTTCATCATCAGAGAAGATTTTTTGCTATAGATCATTGAGAATATTACTTCTTTGACCATAAAAGTTCAAGATATGCGAAAAATCTCATTTACAGAATTGAAAAACGAATCTAATGAATTTTGGAGAGAGTCAACATTAATTACAGCACAGATGATTAGCTAGACTGAAGTTAATTAACTGATGATTTCAGCGATTTCGGTCCAAGTTGTAGTATTAACTACAACTGAAACTGAATTAACATGGATGAAAAAATTTTCCCAAAAGCTTTAATGAGAAATTATGATAAGAAGTAAGCAAATGATGCCTTATAGCTGAAATACCTTATTAATGTTGTTTTGCATTTTATTAATAATGATTACTGCAAAAATTGAAGGTACGGGAAGCAGGAGAGATTTTTATAAACAATATGTCCAAGTAATGCTCAAAGATCACTGGAAAATGAAAACTTATTTCAGTTATCTTAAGAATTATTATGAAAAATAAATTCATTTCGTTTTGATCCAGGAAAAAAACGCCAAAAAAGATTGCTAATGCAAAAAAGAAAAAGGCTAAGAAAGCAGCATTATTCTCAGATAAAATTCTGCTATGCAATTGTATGAAATTGCTATTGCTTCAATTTTTATAATTATCATTTCCTCTGGGAAATACCATTATGAAATTATGATTATTATGCTCTTATTTTACAAAACCAACTGTTGCCTTCTAAAAGGCTTGGCTTCAAGCTAACTTGAATGTTCTGTCTGGCTAATAGAAACAAATATGCTCGGTTTAGTCTGAAATAATTTTTTAAATAGTGTTGCAATTTAAAAAACATCCACTTCAAACACTTCAAATTGCCTGATTAAAAATGATGGTGAGAGATGCATGTCTTCGTAACCAGTTTTCCTTTTCCCTCTCAACCAATGACCCTAAAAAACAGGGTTAGCTATCAATTTAGGCAAATGGTATTATTGATTTCCTTTTCAAAGCTGATAAATTTTGTTTACTCGCTTATTTCACTACCAATTTCACTAGCTGTCACTTACACAGTAATAATTGAAATCATTCACAAATGTGACTGAGGAATTCCTTTAACCTATTTGTCGTTTTCTCCAATAAACTACGAATGAATGAATTGCCAACTAGTAGATGAGAGTAAAAAGAAATTTGAATTTTATAAAAGACGAAACTTAGAAAATATGTATTCTTCCAAACACAGTCAATATTGTCGTAATAATCAGCACTTACATAAATGATATCCAAGGTAATATCCATATTACAAATCATTGCACTCGATATCTTATCTAAATTTGAATAAGTGCAAAAATTTTGATGACTGAAACTAATCTTAATGAATATTTTTTATTCGATCTGATAAATTTAATATAAATTGAAAGTGTATCGTCGATAACCAGTTCACATAAGATATGTTCCAAAATTAGCGCTCTATAAGAAATCTTTAAAGGTTAAAATCTGGCTGAGATGAAGCGATTTCTCAAAAAATCTTAATTACTGAATCACAGAAAAATTATACAACTCTTAAATATATTTTCCAAAATATAATATTTCTTTAAGAATGATGGGTTGATTACTTCAATAATGCTATATATTGAAAATGAGTGACCGTATATTTACATTTCAGTGGCTGTTGTTAAAAAATTATCTTTTGTCACAGCAAGTAGTTTTCTCAAAAAGGAATAAGAATTGCAAATAGGCAAAGGTCGGCGTGTGTCCTCAATAGTGTTTTTGCTCCTTATCACAGCAATCTCAAAAATTCAACTTCTAGGATACAAGGAATAAATTTGCCTCGAACCTACTTTCTTTCACCTTTTCTTTATCAAGCAATATATCTACTTCGGCAGTTTAATAACCTTTACGTTTACTAAGCTTCCTTCAACAAACCTTCTTCACGACGTCATGATCATGAAATAGTGTCTATTTCGAAAAATTAGTTACCGAAAGAAGTCACTTTTTTTATTCCGTTGATTAGGAAACAACTGAACATCACATCTTCACTTTGCAAATTGCAGCCCAGAAAAAATTACGCTTAATTTGGTAAGTGTGAATAGTTTAGAAATTTTGAAGATTCTTATTCTTTTGCAAAAAAAAAAATTATATGGTTTTATATGTAACCTGCTTATTGAATAACAAATAGAGCATTCATTCGACTAGGCACTGAAAATTTAATTAAAGCGCTACAGAGGAAGAAATCATTCCTTACATTTTTCTCTATCAAGATTTGCAGAACGAGGAATGTTTTCATTTGTTTCAAGAAATACTGCACATTTAAAAGTTCCATAAAACTTATACTTACAAAATTAATGTGAAATTCAGAAATAACTTTTTATGAGTGGAAAACAACATAGAGGCAACGAGAAAATACATTATTAGGACAGGTAACCGCGTCCTTTTAAAATTATATGCTATAAAAAATGCATATTCATTATCGTCAATTTAAATCGTTCCATCATAAATTCTTGAAATATGAGAATACTCTTTCTTTCCAGAACTCAGAACCACTTAATATGCATGTTTTAAGAGCGAAAAATGACACTATTCATAAAATTCCATTTTCTTCAAATACAATCCTGTTAGGAACAGTCGACAGAAAAAAAAAAAGAATATTTGAAAGGAATCGAGCTGCCAAAATACTTGAATTTAGTATGAAACACTTACAATGATATTTTCATCCTCGAATTTTAAATCACTGAGAAAAAAAACAAAGAAAGCTATTTTGATTCGAAATCTCTGTAAACTCTCGACGATTTTTCTTGTTGCTTATAGTCAAATATAGTAAAATTAAGTTGTCAGGTTGAAGAGCATATTTAAAAGCGAGAAATTTTAAAAAGTCTCCTTTATCGGAAGACCAAAATTAGGAACAAAGTCGAAAGGAAAGTAATTGAGAACTGTAAACAATAAAAAATTTGGACGTTTTATGACAAAATGTTCAATATTTTAATACAAAATACATTTATAGAAGCAAAAAAATTGCAAAAATTAAACTTCAGGACCTTCGCCTCCAGGTACCAACATTGTGATATGATTACCATTCAGTAAAATGGTATCTAATTTTGTTACTCTTTTACCGTCAACCGTATTTTCGTACTCCACAACATCTTCTAATACCATATTGACGTAGTCGTCAAAACCTGTTAAAGTTCCAACAATCTCTTTTTCACCTATAATGAAATTCACATACACAAATTTATTTCGATATCTGTAGAACATTGTAAACACATAATATATGGCACATCCATTTTAATATCTAAAAATAGATGAATGCTCAGCCATTGCAAAAAATGAAATTAGCATAAGATATAAATGATGGCTAATGCTCACTAATAATTCGTCGCTTTAGGGATATTTGACTGATGCAATCATATGTACGAGTCGGACCTGATACCACTAAATCCTTTTTATTACTCTAACTAACCTTTCATAATAACCCAAATCCTGGAACCAATACATTTGTCTACCAATTCCAACGGTAGTAACGTCGACGGATTCGATGATGTAGAATTCGACATATCTAGAAAAATGGAACAAGGAAGGCATAAAAGTATTAAATTCCGAAGTTTCGATGAATATATACTACCATTCCAAATATTCTAATTTGTTTTTCATAGCCTCATATTCGATTTCTAGACTTCTGCCAATTCAGAATTTATTTGAATGAAACAAGGTATCATAAAACCATGTATTTCATCAAATCCGATGTTAAATGAAAATAACATAAAAGACGCGTGTATTAAAGCTAGCTTGGTTAAAAAAATGAGAAATTCTGACAATCCATTTCGTTCCAAGTAAATGAAAGAAACAGCTGTCCCTAGCGCAAATTAATACGATTTGAACAAAAGCAATTTTACTACATTTCCTGAATTTAACCAGAAAAAAGGCTTTAATAATAAAAATAATGAACATTTATCCACGAAAGGAGTTGTAATTATATTGAAAACCAAAAAAAATTTAATTTAATCTAATGAATATTCCAATATAAAAGAGAGAAAAATGAACATGTAATAAAACACCTCATGTAGTTTCAAGACTTCTTGCACATTAAAACAAATTAAAGGAAATATGAGATGAGAATTATTCTCGGAAACAAGCGGCAAAGTTATAAGTAAAAGTTAAGAACAAAAATGAAGTTACAAGCACACAATACAAATGATGGGACAAATATAAGGTTGAAGGAAGCAAGAAATTTCAAATCCCTGGAAATTAAAAGCCTCAAAAGATTTCCAGAAGTAAGAGAATACTTCCAGCAATTCTACAGTTACAAATACTTAGCACGCTTAAAAATTATGAAATTTTTGGAAGTTTAGAATCTAGAGATCCAACTTAAGGAACAAACAAAATGCTGCACCTTGCTTTAAAGAAACAAAAGGAGGAGAAACGGAATAATGCTTTTTACATGAAGCAATGAGGAAAGCTAAAAAAAATACGGTGTATACATAAATTTTACTCATAAAAGAATATGCAAAAATTTAGCAAATAATTTCAGGAATTAGCAGTACTAAAAATTGAATCAAGAAGATGTGAACATTCGCAGCCATTACTCCATAGTTGCTAAATGACTTTTTTTTATTATGTTTTTTTTTTTTTTTATAATTTACTGGATGAAATTTACAGTTCTAAAACTTCAGAAATCTAAGAATTTTCATTTCATTTCATCCTATCTACTGTTCAACTTCAGTCTTAAATGTATTCTAAATGTATCCCAAAGAAACGTACACAAAAAGGAGATGAAAGTCAACAGAACATATAAAATATATTTCTAAATTTTAACACCTGCTAATAATCGCCAAAAAAATTATGATTCTCACTTCTTTTTGAAATATGCACCATTATATACCGAAATAACTTAAATTTACATAAAATAATAACATCTAAAATGGCTACTTTAGATAACTGACAAAAAAACGCGAAGACTGGCTGTTATTATTTTTCAATAGAAATGGTAATTCAAAAAAAAGCCATTTTAAATAGCAATGAAATCATAAGATTAACAAATAAAAACACTTCGCTTTTCAAAACATTTTATTCATCCTCTATTTCTGTAGAACTATCACTTCCTCGCCTTCAGTAGATTTCATCTCCGTTCTCAACCTCGTTCTCGTCCGGCGGTGCAAATCCTTCTTCCGTTTCATACAATATCTTTAAATGCCACTCTTTTAAGTTCCAAAGAAACGACAGAAAATTTTTTTCACAACAAAGTGATAAAATTATGAATGGAATCATTTTGGAAGAATCTAAACTATCTCTTCCAAGCAGTCCACAATAATTATGCAAAAATTTCACTTTATCCCTGCTAGGCTTCCAAAAATAGTAACAACTGCATTAGGTTTCAAAGAAGCGACAGATAAAGGATGGGATGAATTGGATAAGCTTCATTCGTTACTACAGAATGCTGAGTTATACATACAAAATAAAAAAAGATTCTCTTTTTTGTAGATACGGTAATGAGTGACCTATGGCAGAACATGAGCCGAAAAAAAAAATGAAAAATACACAAAACAAATCGTAAAATAAAATTACTGTGTTAATCTGATAATTAAATCAGTAATAAACGAAATACATACCGCAATTACACGGGCTACATCAATGGTTCCAATCTGCTCATTGTCTTGACATATTACTTCAATCTGTCGCAGTTTCGAAAAATAAAAGTCACGTTCCTAAGAATTGAAAATATGGGAATAAGTAAGTGGCATGTACTAATTATAAATTAATTATAAATTTTCATTTCAACTAGTGTTGCCTAACTAAAATTTATGTGTAATATTTTTTTTTTTTTTTTTATAATAATAATAATGATAATAAGTTTATAACAAATGGCTCAATGAAATATTTTTATAATAATAAGTTTATAACAAATGGATAATTTTCTAGCAAAAAAAACCTCCAAAATATAAAACAAGAAAATCTTAAGAAATATAACAGTGCGAATAACCTTTTCAAGACTGACTATCACATTGTCACCTTCAGCTATCTGTCCCTTGGCTTCCTCCAATTCGCGTTTTAAATTCGCCACTATCTGTTAAGATGCAATAATTAAACGAAAGCATTTTGAAAAAGACTGAAACTCGATCGCCAATTTATTGCATATATTATATTCAAGAAAAAAAAAATCCGATGCAATAATTTCCAACCTAATAATAAACGCAACATTGTCAATTCAGTTATGAACTTTTCTGCCCTTTATGAAATTTCATCACTAAGAAATAATTTTAAGGGATTTTTGTAAATACCTGAGGATCTACTACGGGTTGAATAGGGTGTGCAGTAGCTCGCGCAACGGTAGTTGTAATAAGCGGTGCAGCTGTTCGAGTTGGGTTGTGCTTCCCTCCAAGAACTGGTGCCTTCCGTACTTCACCTTTATTCATAGAAGCATTTGACGCCGAAAGGGTTGATTTCCTGTTTGCGATTTCATGATAAGCTAATTATTATGTATGAAATGTTGTAGCAGAAAATCCCTAATTCATTATAATCCATTAAAAGTACTTTTTTTTTTGGCATTTTTTCTATGTCATTATGCTCCGTTTAATGTTCATTTGTCTAACAAAAGCTTTTAGCATATTTTTTATAAAATTTTTTCCTAGATTTACTATACGTTACAGAAGTTCAAACAATCCTACTCAATTTCAGAAATTTTGAACAAAAGTAGTTATTTCCTAACGAATTCATAAAAACCAACTTGACTGGTGGAGCTGAAGACTTCGCAGGCATTCGTGAAGGTGCATTGGCTTTTACATCAGATGGCAATGGTTCGCCACTCCGAGCTTCCAATGGGTCATATTCGTGTCCATCAAAATTTGCATCAAAAAATTTTTTAAACCACTGCAAGAACTCGAAATTGTCCTACAACAACAGAGTTTTACGAATTCAAGACTAGTGGTATCAGCATTCTTCACATGTGGTCGGCGTTAAAAAATTTTAATACGTCATTTTTGCAAAATCTGTTCGATAAAAAAGTTACCTACCTGAAATTTTCCCTTGATAAGTTTCTCCACAGGGACAATTTTATCAACACCTAGTGTTTTCCATGACGTCTGCAGTAACTTCCAGTTACTTAACCAATCCAATTCTAATCTGCTGTTCCATTTCACCCGCCGTAATTGTATTGAACCAGGAAACAGGAAATCTGTGAACTTCAAAAAAAAAAAAACAGTAAACTGAGGAAATGATATTATTCAAACAGTTCAAAGTACCATATATAAGATTTAAGATAGATATTAAGATTTTTCGTTCCAAGAATATTGAAGAATTCCCCACTATACAACTTCGAAATGAAATCACGAGCATCCGAAATCGTTACGATTTTGTTATCATAAATAAAACCAATTCATCATTAAATCACTTTCAGAAAAAAAGGATTTCGTCTAAAACTTCGTTTTGCCTTACTTGACAGTAAGCTGCACCCGTATGCATTTCTTCAATTTTTGCAAAATTTGACTGCAAGCAATCGTTTACCCACATGAGCATTTCATGTCGAGATAGATTCTCTGTCGTTGCAGATGTTGCATATACATTTACAACTGACATCTGGAAAATGAAATATCAGCATTAATATTCAATTTTCATCACTGTCCACTCTATACAAATTCAATGACTGGTCTAGTTCTACTAAATCTAAACCAGTTTTCATTACATACTAAATTGATACTGGGATGTATAATTGGAGCATGCTAACCTTTGCTGACAAACCCGCTTACTACCTCGAAAGAGAATTAAGCTTCAAATCATAAAACGATCTCTGAAAAAACTGATGTGAATTTTCTTGAACATCGTTCCTGATCGTATAAGCATATACAGAGAGGAATTAAACAAAGGTACAGGAGAGAAGCAATGCCGTACATAATGCAACGAATAATTAATAGTTAGACTCAAATATCATTACAGAAGAAAGTCATTCATCGCTACTGATTGCAACTACGATACGTTGCCGCAATCTTCAACTGAATCATTACAACGATGAATGGATTTGTATAAAACGTAGGCTACGGCCTTGACCCGTTCCACTTTATACCAAACACTCGTAGTAGACCACAAGGCAGAGGATTACAAGAACGTTAGGAATTTATTGGTATTTAATTTTGTGCCGTATTGAAATTTCAAGCTAAACTGTAACTTGACTCTTCAAGTGTACCGAAAAGACACTGCATGACACCCACTAATATACTTACTACAAAGCTTTTTGTAAAAGCCTCGTATCTGCTTTTGGCAGTCAAATCAATTATAGAGCCTGAGTAAATTAACACAGCGATGAATAAAAATTGTCCTTATCAAAACAGTTCAGAATCATACAGAAATGAATAGCAGTGTAGTAGTAATTTTTGACAAGTAACAAATAGTGCTGTAAATGATCGATGAAAGCTGAAGTTCTTAACATAAACGCTGCAGCATGGGCAAAGAATCGATAAAATATTACATTCAAACACAAAAACAACTAACAAAACGCCTGGAATAACTTATTCGAGACAGTAGTGATTTGAAAACATCGCACTGCACTGGAAACACAAATCCACAA